TATAAACGGAGGTCAGCCCTCATCATGAGCTGCCCAAAAGAATTGCGTCACAAGTGGTCCTTACTCGTGAAAAAGTGTGTTTCGGAGACCGACATCCCAACAGTTCCTAACTTTCCTTATTCACCTTATGTCACAAATAAAGTTTGTCATATGCTATAGCAACGTTAATATGAGCATATATCCTTCATTTTTGAAGTTTTGTGAAGAGACTGGTTGTGAAACTTTATCGATGACGCACAAGGTATTGTACTGGTCAAAATGATGAGGTTTTACTTCGCTTTAAGTATCGAAATGTTTGCGACCGTGGCGTTATTAATGCCCCCCCCCCACATGCACCGCACTGCATACGCCGAAGTGTACTACCCAACGTCGTAAAGCCTGGCGTTTTGAATGATCATGGTTATTGGCACGCTCTAACGAATCGAATTATTAGACCATACAGCGAGTTTCACAAACCTCTTTGTTGAATACGTCAATGTTTAGATCATTTACCGAAATTCTCAAAATATGTTGGAATCATCTGCTGGCAGAAAGACACCAAAGCGTAAATTACATTACAAATTGGTAGCAGTGCCACGTGAAAATGATATTGCCCTTTCAGTAGGTCAAATATGGAATTCCGTTGTGAACATTATTTTGGTCAAAGCGCAAAATCTACTGCCTGTCAGTCAATTCCCAGACTTCTTGCCTGACGTGTTTGCCAAGTTTAAGTTGGGAATGGAGAAGTACAAAAGCAAGGTAAGGTAACATTTTCATTCTTTCTCTTTTCAAATGCCGTCCTCACTTACAGGAGTTAGACGAGTTATGGTTGCTGAACATCGATGACTCACATTTCAGGTTCCTGAATCTTAAACTCTAAATCTCTTCGTAAACAGTGTTTCGCAAAGAATCAGTTGCTGCTGATTTGTTGCCAAATCATTCGTTGCTTAATAACATCTCAGTAACGTTGCAACGTCTAACGGTTTAACAGCCACAGTGCAATTTTTCATTCAACATTCCAACTAATAAAAATTGGATAAACTTCATGTGTCAGATCTATGCATCAAAAGCTGCGATCAGCATTAGCGCACATCTTTATTAAACTTTGCCGCATGGGCAGAAAAATATGTACGCTTTTCGTTAATCGCATCAGCACCGTGTATCGAGCACAAATCAGATTTACAATGGAAGCAACGCAAAACAACTTTATATCTTTTCTTTACGCAGTAATCACGAGAGGAGGACAAGAAGTTACTCAAGTATTTCATGAGTCAATACATACCGTTAAATCCGTGCCATTCGATTCGAACCAAGCATACTGCGTGCAGATAAACATCCTAACACTCTGTGCAGCAAATTCTTTGAACTGAACGCAGACATTATAATAGGTAAGATCTGCAGTTCTAAATCATTATTCTGTTTTTGTTAAGAACTGAAAAGATCAACATAAATGTAGTCGAATTGTCGCTTCCTTACCACCTTGAAAGTAAATGTCGTTTAAAGCTGGCTTATGAAACATTTTCGTCACGTATTTCATCTCGCTTTGTAATTTCGTTTTAGACAGTAAGTCGCACCTTAGACCCGGTGTGGCTAGAACAGTTCGACCTTCATCTTTTCGATGACGTGAAACGGCCCAACTTAGAAATTACTTTGTTTGACAAAAGAAAAGACCTGTTTATGGGGAGGTATGTGCGTTAACAAATAATTTTTAAAATACAGGTTCATCCCATTCAGATGTATAATAGACTTGAATTTGCTTGAATGTGAAGTGACCCACCAACAGTGGTTCGAACTAGAGGACAGCGCTGGTCAAATTCTGCTTCTCATAACGATTACGGGTTGTAACAATTCCACCTCCATTCCAGACATTTCTGCTAACTTCAACGTACCTTCAGAAGAAGTTCTGCGGAACAAATACGTAATTTAAAATATTTTTAGTCATTGTAAAAAAAATAAATGAAAACAAATGCTTGATGCTATAGAGCTGGAGAAATACACTGCAAGAAATATCCGATATCGGTTTCCTTAGAGTGAAAGGTACGTTACCAGATCAACTGATCGTTCAATAATTTATTTGTGAAATTGCAGTCTACAGAGCGAAGGCGCTGGCGGCGGCTGACATCGGAGGTGAGCTAGATACATCGGCGTATTATGCGAAGATACGAAATTCTAGGCAAAAGCGACCCATTTTGCGTTCTCGAGCTATCCAATACTCACCTACGAACACACACCGTGTACAAGACCTTGAATCCGGACTGGAACAAAGAATTCACGTTGTAAGTAGATTCAGCCATTCTACCAAGAACAAACTTTTAAGACTTGTGCTGACGATCACACCTGCGTGTCAGCTAACAGATGAGTCTACTGTAAAGCAGCTTTAAGGCCGTCACGTCAAAATGCATAGTCGCATCTCTCGCCCGTTCTTGCATGTGCATACGTTCTTGCTACCCGGTTTTGGCTGGTCGCACCGAAGCAGCCCCTTTCGATCACTACTAGTGTTTTTGGGCCGCAGCGTCAGAAAATGTCTCCAAAATTCCTCATCCTGCGCCAACACCTGAATGCTGGTAAAAAGTAACGTAATACTAGTTTACGGCAAAATCTATCAAA